CAGTGGGTAGCTAGCAGGGATCCAGAGTATGGGCAGGTCCAGGGCCGCCCCCCCTTCATGGTATCCAGTCAGCTGTCCTCTTCTCCTCCCATGCTGGCCCCATCCCTCTGCAGGATGCCTCTTGTTCTCCAATCTGCAGTTACCCATGGATGCTGGCTCATTGCCAGCATCCATGTTTCAACTCTTTCCAGAGAAGGACATTTTCTTAGAGAAGACTCAGGGTGACCTGAGGGTCACGGACAATACTCAGTGCAGAGTTCTTTTCTCCTCCCAGGGGCTGTGAGCCCCCTTCTTGCCAGAGAAGTCAGGGCAGGGGAAGGGGTTGCCACCACTGTCCTCTGGAGGGCCCCTGATACCCGGCCCATAATTGGCGAAGGGGCCTCCTGATTCTTTAAGAAGTCCCACTTTACAGTCTTTCCCAGAGAGCTTGAGATCATGTGGAATGGGATCAGGAGGGTAGCTGTGTCGGAGTGAGGCAAGGAGGCTGTGGCCCTGAGACATGTGCCAGGGGTGACACTGGGGATTGGCCAGGCCATGGTGACCCAGTCGGACATGCCGGGTTCAGACAGAGACACTGTCTGATACAGTGTGATACCCCAAGTATGACAGCAGTAGGGCAGGAGGCAAAAACGGAAGGGGGAAGGGGGTCTGACACTCAGCTTGTCAGTCTTCTTAGCCACAGGCTCTTTGAAGGCCAGGGACCGGGGCAGGGCTAGAGTTGGACCGAAGACCCTCAAGTCTGAGTAGTAGCCTCCTGGCTGCCGGATGGGGAGCACTTGGTCCTTCTGGAAGATGATCTTGTCCCCCGGGTACAGCAGGGCTGCGAGCAGCAAGAGAAACATGTCCTGTCAGCCCAAGACCCCTCCCCGCCTTGAGCCTTTGGGGCAGAGGGCAGAGGAGGGCTTTTAAAAATATATATTCACGTTTGTGTTTAAAAAGACTTTTTTCTTGTATATATGTAATATTTTTTTCTTATATACATTTTTAAACTATTAAAAATTTTAAATGATTATAGATTCACAGCAAGTTGCAAAAATAGTGCAGAGGGTCCCTTAGACCCTTCTCCGAGCTTCCCCTAAGGGTGACAGTGCATATATAGGCATACCTCGTTATATTGCACTTTGCTTTCTTACACCTCACAGGTGGTGCATTTTTTTATAAATGGAAGTAAGAAGATTACGACTCATGGTGGTCTGGAACTGAACGCACAATATCTCCAAAGTATGCCTGAAACTGTAGTGCATGATCAGGAAATGGAATTGGTACAATACTGCTAACTCGATTAGAGATAAGGGGGCTTGTTTATAACCAGGTTGGCAATGGCCTGGGGGGCTGAGGTGCAATTAGGATGGAGTGTGAGGGCCCACACCCCACTCTGCAAGAGGCGTCCTGGTCAGGAGTCCCAGGAGGAGGAGGGACGGATTCCCCCTAGACCTAAGTTAACACTAGGTTAACTTAGATCTAGTTGATGGCAGTTTTCTCCTTGCTTAGAAGTAGTCTCGCAGATAACCTTGGGAGACTTTTCTAAGAAGTGCAGAATATAAAAAACACCAGCCCAGGGTCTCCATCTTCTTGCAACTATGGAGCAGTGCTTGTCCTTGAAGTGCTTGAAGAGCTCATGTTCTAGAAAAAGTGGTGGAAGGTTACACTTCAGGTTATTAATGTTTGTTATTTAGAGGTAGGGACAAGATTGTGCAGGCGAAGGGAGCAGAGGGAAGGGGATACGCAGCATCAACATTTTAAAAGGTATGTAGGATTTTTTTAAATTACATTAAAAAAATATACGTATATATACATGATTTTTAAAAATGACTTACATAAATAATTGTGTAAATGGAAAAGAAAAAGGTTTGTGAAAAGACAGTCACCAAAATATTAATGGTGGTTAACTCAGGCTTGGGGAGGGGGGAGTAATTTGTTTTCAAAAAAATTAAGTGAGCAAGTATTATCTATAAAATTGGGGGAGAAAAACAATAAAGCTATATTCACTGGAGAGAGGGGAAATGCCTCAATGTTCTAGAAATCTTGGCCATGAGCTTAAGGCCTGGAGTCTGAGCCCACCAAGCTCTAGTCTAGAACTCAGACCTGGAAGTCCCGATGTTTGTGCTTCTTTGTCCACAGCAGAGCAGGCCTCTGTCGTAAAGACAGCCAATAGATAGTGGCCAGGACAGTGGTCAGAAATGGACTAGAGTCTTTTCCATCTAGACCAGTCAGAAGCAAAAGGAAGCCCACCCACGCGTGCTCCTGTATGTCCATGAATTTGAGACCCTGCAGACAGGGGAAACACACAGGCCCAGGAGCTGGCAAAACAACTCCAAGTCCCCTGGAGGGGACAAAGGAGGCACATCCAGAGGGAAGACCTGAACCATAAGAGCAGTCTGGGGTGCATGGCAAGCCTGCCTGGATTTCAGAAGAGAGATAGCTGTAGCTCCACCACTAACCAAGAGGAGGGGATATAGACGATCAGGGAAGACGAGGCTCCCTGAGGAAGGAGGAAGGAAGGATGACTTGGTGAAAAGTCAGTGCCCAGAGCTGTAGGATCTCCTGTTTCAGCCCTCTCACCCCAGGCGGGCTGCCCAAGTGAGGGAATGCAGCATGTGCAGGACACAGTGACTATTTAGGTGGGTTTTCCTGTGTCCCTGAAGGCCCTTGGCCATATCCCCCTGTATAGCCTGGTATGGGCTAAATTGTATCCCCTCAAAATTCATATGTCGAAGCCCTAACCCCTAGGACCTCAGAATTTGTATTTGGAGATAGGGCCTTTCAAGAGGTGATGAAGCTAAAATGAGGTGGTTAGGGGGGACCCAAATCCCATCTGACTGGTGTCCTTATTAAGAGGAAATTTGGACACACGGAGAAACACTGGGGTATGCGTGCACAGAGAGAAGACCATGTGAAGAGGCAGCAAGGGGGCAGCCATCTGTAAACACAGGATTGAGGCCTCAGAGGAAACCAACCCCCTGGCATCTTGATCTTGGGACTTCTAGCCTCCAGAACTGGGAGAACGTACAGTTTCTGTTGTTTAAGCCATCCAGTCTGAGGCATTTTGTTATGGTACCTCTAATACAAGACCCAAGGCCCTACACATTTAGCACTGGTTTCCTCCCTCTTGGGAAAAAGATGGAAATAATCAATTGTGACTATTAACGCTTGTTCTCCGGTAAGTCACACCACACTCTGTGTGCCCTTTCTCAGAAAGCCTCATTCCCCAGTATGGCCACAGTTCCTGCCGAGTTCCTCTGGGAAAACCCCTGCCCTCCTCATGCAGCTCGCTGTTCATGTTTTTGAAGCATAGAGAGGGACCTGCCCATTAAATGTATAAATTAATACATTTGGGGTACCAGTATTGCTCTGCAGTCATCAGGAGAATATGGGGGCACTCCCTGTCCCCACCTATCAGAAGCACACACTCTACCCAGAGACATGGAGGGCTCAGGTCTGCTTGGATATATGAAAACACAATTCTTCCCTCAAGCAGTAGATGTAAACAGTATGGAAATCTCAGCATTGAGTCCTGCAGTCTGATCAAAGAGCAAAGGGCCTCAGCAGAACCGGACCCCTGGTGTATTCCTACCTCAGTGTTGCAAAAGAACCGAACAGTGGGCCTGGCATAGGGAAGTGGTTTTGGTAATGCCTGACACAGCATAGAGTTTGCCACTTCTATCAAATCTCCCTCTTTGAAATTGGGATTGTTCTTTTATGCTCAACTTCAGGGCTCCCTCACCCAGAGGAACTTCCTGTACTAGAAAGCCAGCTCATCCAGCTCAGTTGGGGAAACCAGACCTCCAGGCCTGTGGAACTTGTAGATCTCCAGGAGTCTAGAAATCCCACTGAACAGGAAAACAGGCTGAGCTGTTCTTCCCAACATCCCCACCCCGGGCCACAGCGGCTTGTGCATGTCAGCTGGGGAAGGACAAAGCTCAGGTGGACACTTAAGGCATCCTCCTGGGGCCAGGCACTAAGGCCCTTACCTTTCACAAGGATGTCCTCCGTCAGTGGGAGGCCGTAGTACTCACAGAGCTTCTGGCACTGCAGGTAGACCAGAAAGTTGTCCCTGTGGAACATGTTGATGAGCTCATTCATCTCCCCACTGATGGTGGATGGGAGGCAGTGCTCATCCAAGTGCTTGTTCCCGCTGCGCACCAGGCGGCACCGCTCTGTGTACTCGATGGAGGGGATCTTGAGCTGCAAAGAGAACCGCGGTTGGCACACACTTCCCTTCACCTTGCCTCTTCCCTCCTGGCCTGAAGGCTGACAATCTACCTCTCCCCACGAGGCCCCCCGGGGAGGGGCAATGGCAAAGGACGCATGGTGGAAACCAACTTCAGGTTCCGAAGTCAGTGACGCAGGAGAAAAATCACACGTCGTCAGGGTCACCCCCGAAGAGCACTTGAATGGCCAGCACATGCAGTTCTGTGTACACAGCCCTGTACATGGATGGGCACACGTGATCGTATGATAAATACAGTAGTGTACAGTGCAGATGCCCTAGAGGCGTCCTACTGAAACATTCCATTCGAGTGTTTGGCAGTACTGGAATTTAAATTAGGTACAGCCCTCTGTGACTTTGAGGTAGAAGCCACATGATATGGATGGCAGAGGGAGGTAGAAGAGGCCTTGGGAGTATTAGCCACTTTTGGCCTTCTTATTTATTTATTTATTTATTTACAAGGGAAGATAAATCTATCTTTTTAAAACTTCCAATGCCAGAATCAGCAAAGTACAGCTCATAGGCCAAATCTGGCCCACCACCTGTTTTCATAAATAAAGTTTTATTGAAACACGAAGAGAATCAATTCTTCCTTCCTTTACTGGTCATGTATTTCTGGAGTGCCTACTCAGTGCCATGCCCTGTGCCAGGCTCTTGGGTTCCCACTGTGATGGAGACGCAGCCCTGGTCTCTGGATGCAAAGTGATAATTTAAAAAATGGGAGGAGGGAAACCTGATACTTCCAGAAACATTATCTCATTTCATCTTCGCAGAAACCTTGTGAGGTAGGTATTGTTCTTATTACATAGATGAGGGAACAGAGAGAGAGAGACAGCCCACTCCCATGAGCCCCCTCAGCTAGAAGGTGGCGCAGGTGCAGCGGATTTACCCTGAGCCCTTCCCGTTGGTGGGGCTACCTTGCACTGCCGCTTCCTTTCTCGGTACCGCTTGCCGACGTCCTCCATCTCCTCCAGGGTCATGGGCCTTGCCTCCTGGGTGTCAACCACGGGCACTGTCAGCAGGTCCATCTTGGGAGGCTGGGGGGTTAAATTCACCTTCTGCTTCACCTTCTGCTTCTTGGACTGATGTCGTGGGGAAACTCTGTGCCTGGGAGATCTATAATCTAGGGTTGGAGGGAAGAGATGAAGGAGGGACTGAGAGGGTGCCCAGCCTGGAATCCATCAATTGTTTAATCAATGTCACCAAGCAGGCCCTGAGCCACCTCCTCTGCTCACTTCCCAGGTGTCTGGTCAGTGCCAACGGAGATGCCCCTTGAAGGTGCCTCTTCTGTCCAATCCACTATGGCCTCCCTAGTTCAGGCCACCTCCTACCTCACCTGCACCATGGCCCCAGCCCTCCTGTTGTCATTCTCATCCTTTAGCATCCTGTTTCCACCAAACAGCAAACAGAACCTTTAAAAAGTCTAAGCCAGATCGCCTCATTCCCCTGCTTAGAACTCTCTCCTGGCTTTCCACAGCGCTTAGATTAAAACTCAGAGTCCGCTCTCTAGTCTGCAAGGCCCTGCAGGATCAGGCTTCAGCTGGCCGTCCACCAGACCCATCTCCTACTTGTCACTCCTCACTCACTCCGCCCAGCCACCCTAATTTCTTTCTGTCCCCTGAAGACTTTCCTGCCTCAGGGACTTGGCCTCTGCAGTTCCATCTGCCTAAGATGCCCTTGCCCAGACTGGCTCCTCATCAGTCACTCAGGAGTCAGCTCCAATGGCTGCTTTCAAGAGAAGCCTTCCCTGACCACCATCCCCTCACTCTGTCCTATTGTCTTCAAAGCTTTAATCACTATTGGACATCATGGTTAATGTCGCCTATGGAAACTCATTGGAGGCAAGGGTGTTGGCTTTTTCACTGCTGTGTTTCCAGTTCCCAGTTCCTAGGAGTGCCTGGCACATAGTAGGTGTTCAACAAAGATCCGAATGAATGAGAGCATCCTATTGCCCCTGCCTTGGTGCAGGCCTCCATTGTCCCTGGCTGAAATGAAATCCAGCGCCCAAACCTTCCAGTTTTGGAGGGGAGAGACAAAGGAAGGAGGAACTGGGAGGGTGCCCAGCCATGGTTTTGAGAGAGTGAATAGGTGGTCATCCTCTCTGAGCCTCACCTTCCTCCTGGAAAAGCATGAACAGCAGCGCTGACATCTGGGGACTTGAAAGATAAACTGAGCTAATGCTCCCAGAGGGTGCCCTCAAATGCTACTGCTTTCTCTCTTGTGAGCTGGTTGCCTAGATTCTTGATGCTGCTGCCCCTTTAGGCAAAGTAAGAGACTCCTAAGTCCGCATACCCTACCCACTGTGGCTCTCCAGGGAAAAGGATCTCAGCGATGATGCTGAGATAGCACCATTCAAGCAAATATCTGCTGCTTGGCTTCAAGTCTGTTTATTGGGAAACAATAGGCCCCAAATACTTTTGCTGTAAATATGCATCGCGGTGCACTGTGGTCATTCACTAAATGACTTACAGCCAACTACATGGATAACGATGAGTTTTGGTAATTTACAATGAAAAGGCCAAAAAAAGCATGGTTGGGAAGGACACTCTACTCAAGGTGACCCTGAGGAAGTGCTGGACGTGTAGTGGGTGGGAGATTACTAATGTGGGGGTGGTGACATGCAGGAGGAGACTGTGGGGGCGCTCAGGTTCCCTGGGACTCTGCGAGGGCGGAGACCCAGCCTGGGAGTGAGGATGCCTCTGCCCACTGGCTTGTGGAGACTAGAGGTTGGAAATCTGTGTGCTGCGCTGTGAGTGAAGCTCTGGGGGGGACTGAGGAATGGATGTTCTAAGGCAGCGGTTCTCAACCTTCCTAATGCCGTGACCCCTTAATACAGTTCCTCATGTTGTGGTGACCCCCAACCATAAAATTATTTTCGTTGCTACTCTGTAATTTTGCTACTGTTATGAATCGTAATGTAAATATCTTTTTGTTTTCCGATGGTCTTAGGCGACGCTTGTGAAAGGGTCGTTCGACCCCCAAAGGGGTCGCGACTCACACTTTGAGAACCGCTGATTTAAGGGAACTGCCTGCTGCCTCCAAAAGAACCAGCTGGTGAGGACGCTGAGCACCCAGCTGGGTATGGCCAGAACTCCAGAAGCCCTGCCCCAGATCTTTACCTATGTAAGGAAACCCTCCCACTACCCTCCTAGGGTTCTTACATGACCCCAGGGAGGACGCGGAGCTCCTCCTCCCCAAATATGCTTGCACTTAAGTTCCTGCCAAGCAAAGCAAGATTTGCTTCATTTAGAAAAAGAAAGATGTGGTTGTATTTGGGGAGGGCTCTGGAATGATGGGTGGTAGTTAGAGGGCTTTAATTTTGTTTGTAGTTGTTCAATATATATATATATATTTTACAACAACTAAACTATAAAGAAGCTTGATGCACCCTTGTATTGAAGAGTAAATTCAGAGCTATGGCTAGTCCATTTCTAACTTGCCTCTGTGTTTCATCTGGACAGATGTGGCTCCAGAAGCACATGGCTTATTAGCCAATGGAACTTGACCTGTGCACAACCAATACAACCGTTTGCAGCAGCCCTGCTAATAGCCCTGATAGTAGAATACCAAAGTAGACTTTCCAGTAAACTCTAAACATGTGCTAATTCTGGTTTCTGAATTTTAGTGCATTTTTTCATCAGTAAGGTGTAGATTAATAGTAAGAAGGCCTTGGACTCACATCCAAATGGAAAGGCTTGGCATTTAGGCCAGTGCTCAGCCTATCAGGTGGGCTTTGGTGGGCTGAAAGCACCCTTTTGTGAATCCTCCTTTAAGGACCAGGGCTAGGCCTCATCCATCTTTGAACAGACACGATGGCTGGGTACTCAAGAAAATCTCTACTCCTTATTAATCTCTGGGCCTGGAAATTCCAGAGGCTTGGCCCACCTCTTATGCCAAAGTTGGAGAACACACTCAGGAAGTGGGCCGAGGCTGCCTCCACCATGCTTGCTCTGAGGATGAGGAACTGGAGGCATGGAGGTGGGGATAGATACGTACACTTCCTTGTACTTGGTAGCACCTTTCTCTGCTGGGCCAAAGACCATTGCTTGTAGGTGTTGGTCAGGATATCCATGGTGATGCTATTGTCCTTCCCCAGAGAGGTGAGATAAATCACAATATCCTCTACTTCCTGGTTTCCCAGAGGGACTCCTATCTGAGGAGAGAAGAGAAACCCCCAAGGCAGGCGGGTGTCAATCCAAATATCCTGCCAGGACAACCAAGGCCTGCCAGCCTGGCCCCACCTCCCTGTCTGGTTTTCTCCACAGCTACTCCCAGCTCATGCCCAAGGTCCCTGCCACAGGAGCTCAGAGCCCTTTCTTGGACTCTAAGTACATCCTGCACTTTCTCGCCCTCTGCCTTTACTCAGATGTTCCCCTTCTATGCCTGAAAAACTCCTATCCCTCCTTCAAAACCCTGTCCAGGTATGCCATCATCTTTGCAGGGTCTGTTACTTCTTCCTCTGGGCTCCCACCCCACTTCACACCCATCCTAATGCCAGCTTTCCCATATTGGATTTGAAGAGGGATTTCACATTTCTATCATCCTTACCAACAAAGGACACATAAGCTTTCCTTAACTGAAGGAAAATAGGATTAGAAATATGATACTTGTTACTCTTTTCAGGACTGAGCAATTTTGGAGGAGAACTCGAAATGCTTGCCAGCAATATCGAATATTCAAGAAGAAAAGTTTTAAAGGAAATATAATTTTGTTCTTTAGCTTCTTTAGACTGCAATCATTGTTACTGAGCTTTCCTTAAAGAGGATCAGAACTCTCCAGGTATGACAGGATTTAATGTTTTATCTTCTTGGTTATGACAATTAAAGACCATTTATCTTTTTGTTGCTTTTAGTGCTTTTAAATGTTGTTCAGATGCGTACATGTCATAAAACGATGGTGTGAAAACTGGTGATGATTTAAAACCATAAGAGGTGTGACGGTCAGCTTCCTAGAGTTATTTTATAAGGTATCTTGTACTGAGAGTATATAAAAGCTGAATTTGTTCAGACCAAGAGTCAGCAAACTTTTTCAACAAAGGGCCAAATATAATAGTATAATAAATATTTTAGGCTCCATGAGCCATATGGTCTCTGTCATAACTACTCAATTCTGCCAGTGTGGCGTGAAAGCAGCCATGACAATCCACAAATGAGTGAGTGTGGCTGTGTTCCAATAAAACTTGACAGAAACAGGAAGCAGGCTGGATTTGACTCCTGGGCCACAGTTAGCAGACCCCTGCAAGACCAATGGAACTGTCTGCAACGATGGAAATGTTCTCCATCTGTGTGGTCCGATAGAGGAACTACTCATCTCATATGACTACTGAGAACTCAAAATGTGACTGGTGTGACTGAGGAACTGGATTTTTTATTTTATTTATTTGTAATTAATCTACATTTAGAATAGCCAGTGAAAGTGTGGTCTGTGGACCAGTACCATGGGAACTGGTTAGAATGCAGCATTTTGGGCCCTGCACAGAAGTATTGACTCAGAAGCTGCATTTTCACAAGACCTCTATGTGATTCATGAGCCAGTGATAGCTGGCTCGAGAAGGTCCCAGAGGCAGGACTCAAGGCCCAGCCATCTTTGTGCTTAGTTCTGGGGTCTGATGGGCAAGACAGTGAGTGATTCCCTAGGCGGCTGGCTGGTTATGGGGTTGATTCTGCAGATGTTCCACTCAGGTAGGTCCTTCCAAGGTCAGACTGGTGCAGGGGAGGTCTTAGGGGTCTGATGTGGCCGCAGGTTAAGCCCCATTTCCCAGTCTGGCTTTACAAGCGATACGGCTGATAGTTTGACCTCCCTGAGTCTCCTTTTCAGTTGGTCCAGGACCTTGGGTGGGGGCAGCAGCAGAGGGTGCCTGGACACCCTCCCCACTCAGGCCAGCCCAGGGGGAGGACGGGAGGCACTTACCACCCTCAGAGCCATAATGAACTCCTCCCTGGAGAGCCTATGGTTATCGCCCCAGTTGACCTTGTCAAATATCTCCAGGATCTTGATCTTGTGGCTGCGCAGGTAAGAGTACAAGGCTGACAGGGCAGAGGGCTTGGGCAGTCGGAGCTGGGGCACCCATCGGTGGGAGTGGCGAAGGTTTTTCTCCTAAAAGAGGCAAGAGAGTGGGGCAGAGGGGAGTGTTCAGGGGAGACAGGCCAATGGAATGTGATCCCCACAGTTAGAGAGAAACAGGAGAGGCTGAGCAGCTCTAAACAGGCAGCAAGATGGTGTGCAAACAGCACTGGATTCCAGCAACTACAAGGCAACTGTGTTCTGCCACAGAGCGCCTGGGGGACTGCTTCTCTGGGCCCCCATTTTCCATCAGAAACCAGAGATTTGGACAATATGAGAACTAAAGTTTCATTCTTATCCACATCTCCCCTGTCAGACTAGTCAGTATTATAATCCCACTGGGCTCTCGGTGCGCCAAAATACATGCCTCTGCCTGAAGCCAGACAGGGCTCCCCACTCCTCGCACCTCCCAGCCTTAGCTCCTGCTGGGACTTTTGCCTGGAATACCTTTCCTTCTTTCTCTACCTGTCCAATCCTCCTCCTCCTCCAGTTCCAGGTGAATGGGAATATTTGGAATTAACACTCCCTTACCTTGATACAGCCCCAGCCAGACCTTTAGATGTCTGTGGCCTGTGCCAACATCTTAAAGATGTGAGACTCTGAGCCAGAGCCATCCAGCTAAGCTCCTCCCAGATTCCTGACTCTCAGAAACAGTGAGGTAGCAAGCACTTGCTGCTTTCAGTCATTTTGGGGTACTTGCTATATAGCAATAGGTAAGTGATATACCTCCCTTTCGGGACTTCTGTTTGCTCCTCTGTGAAATGGGGTGAATGGTCCCCACCCTTCCCTTAATCCCCTCAGTGTCTTCATCTGGCAAATGAGGCTGCTCACCTTGGTTGGTCTGGTCGTAGTCAGGTGGGCCATCACCTGGGCCTTGCGCTCCGTGCGGATCCTGTGTAAGATCTTGACCTCTGAAGGCGTGAGACTGGGCTTGTTCTGCAGCCACCTCTCTGTGTTGCCAAATGACGCCAGGTCCTGCCGAAACTTCATCCTCTGCCTCAGCCAGGTCCTCGTGTCCATCGGCTGCTCTTGGGTGTCCCCGGCTTCCAGGGTTTTGAAGCTGGGGATGGGCTGTGGGGGAGCCTGGGGTTGGGGTGTGGGACTGATGGGCACCGGGTCCTCCTTTTGAGGCAAGATGATGAGCCGCCGACGGCTTTGAGGCAGGTGAAAGTCCTCCTGCTTGAACTGCTTGAAGCAGTGGGCGGTGACCAGTTCAGGATTGAAAACGGGGTCCGTGCTGGCATTTTCATCATCATCATCTGATGTCTGAGACTCGCAGAGCCCTTGGGGGAAGAGGGTTAAAAGGTGAGTTCCTTTCAGCAGGAGGACGAAAGGAGTCAGGAAGGAAAAATGCTTTAGTAGCAGGCTGGGCATCTGGGCACCTGGGTTCCAGGCCAGACTTTATCACTGCCTCCCTATGATGAAGATAATTACATCTAACATGACTGGGCACTCCCAATGGCAGGCACTATGCTGAGGGCTTATGAGTTTTCTCTTATTTCATCTCCTCAGATTCTACTTTCACTCTACCTAGCCCCCCCCCCCCCCCCCCTGCAGTACTCCTTACTGGCAATGAGAATAATCTTTTAAAAGTGCTGTTCTGATCTGCTCTGATCATCTGAGGCAGCACAGCGCTGTTGAGAGCACAGGCATTGGAGCCAGAATGCCCTAGCCTGGGTCCTGGCCCTGCTGCTTGCTGGCTGCGTGATCTTGGGCAAGTCCCTTATCTTCTCTGTGTCTCAATTTCTTCATGTGTAAAATGGGGATAATGATGGCACCTACCTTACTGAGTGGTGGAGATGTTTAGAATCAGTCCATTTTATTTTATTTTATTTTTAGATTTTTATTGGGGAATTGGGGGATGGGAACAGTGCTGGGGAATTGGGGGAAGGGGGACAGACAAGTTGCTATCGTTTTCTGTTCTTCAGTCTAGTGTGGAGGACGTTGCTTCACTGGCCCAAGTTGGCACCATCATTGCGCTCTTCCCGGGCGAGGCAGATCAGTCGCCGGCTTCTGGACGGCCGCTCACTGCGGCTGCTGGCCGCTCACGCTGGCTGCTGGCTACACACGGTAGCCCATGGCAACCCACTGCAGCAGGGGCTGCAGCCTACGCCATCGCCAGCAACTCACAGCAGCCCAGCTCCAGGTTGAGCTGTTGTTCAGCATCTTAGCTGTGGAGGGCAGTGTCACTGGCCCTCATATGTGGGATCCGAACTGGGGCCCTCTGGAGTCCCAAGCCAGCTCTTAACCAACGCACCACTCGGCTGGCCCTAGAATCAGTCCATTTTAGAGTGGCTTTGTTCATAGTAAGTGTGCCGTTATTTTTTTAATGTATACTCACCTTCCACCCATCTTGAAGCCCTTCTATGACTCCACAGACCTCAAAATAAAGTTCCGTGACCACCCTCTGCCAACCTCTCCCACCTCATCACCTGCCTAACTGTCTTTACTATGTCCCAGAGGCCTTGACCTTCTCACTGAATGGTCCCCGAATAATCCAAGCCCCGTCCTGCCTAAGGGTATCGCACATGCTGCTCTTTCTGCCAGGAAGGCCCTCTTCCCCACCCATTCCTTCCTCACTCCTCATCATCCAGATCTAACACTAAATGTTACCTCTCCAGCTCCCAGTCTCTCTTATATGCTCATGTTATCTCTGCATAACACAACCTATGAGTACACTTTTCCTTCAGACCATTTATCACAAGTATGTCAATGAAGGGTTGCAAATTGGCAGCCCTCATGCTGAATGAGGCTTGAAGTCCTCTTCTGTTTGATGTAGTGCTTAAAAGTTTCCAGTTTGAGTTACTTTAAGCTGGGGCATGCCCTCTCCAGCTTGCCACAGTCCCCACCATTCCCTGTTGTCTCACATGCAGCTCAGTTCATTCATTAAGTGCCCGGTACAGGCAGACATGTGTATTTGAAACCCCTGGTGCAATTACTTGGTTGATGTTTATTTTTTTTTCAATAGACTGAGCTGAGACCTCATCTCTCTTGTTCCCTGCTGGAGCCTCTCCCCCCCACCCCCACCACCACAGCGCCAACATATAGTGGGAGCTCAATAAGTATTTGGTAAATGAGTGAATGAAAAATGAACAGACCTAACAGGTGGCTCTATAATTATGTCCATTTTATAGATAAGGACACTAAGGCCCAGAGAGGCCCAAGGTCACATGGTTGATTAGTAGCAGCGCTGGGACATGAACTCTGGTTTGCTTGGCTCCAGAGCTCTGCTCTTAGGCATTACCCAGGCTGTCACCTAATCCTGCTGAGTCTCAATTCTTTCATATCTAAAATGATATCAATTCTGCTCTAGCTGAAGCTGTTATGAAGATCAAATGAATAACACATGGGAGTGTTTCTAAAATTCAGGAGGGATACACCATCATTATTAAAAATACTGTCACCATCATTTTCCTTCTAAAAGCAAAACTCTCCTGCTTAAAACCCTTTCAACTGCTGCCAAGGGCCTGCAGAATAACGTGCTTAACCTGACCCCATCTGTCCCACCCAGCCCTGCCAGCCACTCTGATTTCTCCTCTTGCTAATTCTGCCTCACCTTGTATATGTCCCCAAACTGTATCTGACTGTGGTTCCTCTGTCCTCCCTCCCTGCTCCCCTACAAACTGTGCTGTTTCCTCTCTCAGGAACGCTGTTCTCTCCCCGCTGCTTCACATGATTATTCTGTACTGATCCTTCCAGACTCCGCTCAGGCATCACCATCCCTCCCTGTAGCCTTCCCAACCCTTTCCTTGTGCCCCATCTGAGTCCCTTTTCCTTTGGCTCTGCTTCACATCTCTCCCTGAGTCCCATCTTACCTCTCTGGCACTTGTTCTTGGGCCCCTCTTTTAAAATTTGCTTCCATGCTTACACCTGGGCTCTCTCTCTTTTTTTTTTTTTCAGACTCCTCCACTCTGACATTTCTATGGCCCTCTATATGCTGAGGACACCCATACCAATATTTATAACTTGGAATTAGTTTCAATTTTCTACACACAGTTGCTCCTAATGCATATCCACTCGGATGGCCTACAAGGATCTCAAACTCGACCAACTCAGACTAAAGTTGTCTCCATGTCCCTGTCCTCACCTAATTGGTCCTCCTGGTAGGTTTCCTTTCTCTGTGAAAGGCACCTGGTCACCGTAACAACCTGTGCATTATCTATGATTGTTCTTTACATCTTGCCCATCCGATCAGCCCCCAAGTCCCTGCAAGTTGCCTCTAGCCTGACACCTCTCCCTCACCCCCCAGTATCTCCCACTCCCACCATTCTGAGTCTGCCAATTCAGTCTCTGCCTTTGCTGATGCTCCCAATCCAATCCTGTCATTCCCAGTGACTTCTCCATCTCCTGGCTCAAAAGATTTTTCATATCTTACCCCTTCGGACCTCTTTCGCCGCTCATCTCCAGCAACACTCTAAAACTACCTGCAGTGTCCTGAAGACACATGTTTCTGTGCATGCTGTTCCCTTGGCCTGGAATGCCTTTCTTCCTCCTTTTGACTTGGAGAACTACTTGTATCCTAAATTTAAGCCCCAATGTAAAGATCTTTTCCAGGACCGTGGAACTGTTCCTCCTCATCCTCTATCTGTAGAAGACCTCTTACTCCTGGATGTCACCCCTGAACCCAGTATTCACACCTCGTTCTGTAATTATCCGTTTATCTGCCTGTCCTTCACCTCTGTTGTTGTAATGCTTTGCCAAGGACTTGTCCCACAGCAGGCTATTGCCAAAAGTTTGAAGACTGATGGTCTTCTCCATGCCTCGTCTCCAGTACCGACCGCATTAATGTCCGGTAGAGAAATGCAGCGAACCAGAGGCCCTGGATACCTTTCTCAGGCACACGCACGGGTTGGGCATCTGGTTCCAAGCCAAGGTAACTTGGGCTGCTCCTCCAGTCCACGCATGGAAATCTGGAAAATGTGCACGACCCGCCCCCGACTCCCTGGCAACCTCTCACCCAGAGGGGAGACGGCACAATGAGCTATCCGCCTACATCCTTGCCCTCATCTCACTTGCATGCCTCCGCATGGGGCTGAGGGCTTCCTGGAGTTGGTGCTGCTTCTTGGGGGCTTACCAAGCAGCGACTGGAGCAGAGCCTTGAACGTTTCATAGGAATAATCCATAGTCGTGGAGCTGTGTGTGTGCGCGTGTGCGTGCTCGCGCGCGCTTGTGTGGGGGTGTGGAGATACCTGAAAAATGGTATTCTAAGTTTTGCGAGTTGACATTCGCAGTGTAGAAATGGCCTGTTACCAGGACTACGGACACCCTGTGCTGATTGGCGGAGCGCCGCCACGTGTGGGAGGCGGGCGGGGTCCGGATTTGCCCGGACTGAGCGCCTGCGGACTAGATTCCTTTCACCAGTCCTGGTAGGGGCGTTAGGAAACCGTAGCCACGCAGAGTTCCTGGCTTGGCGGAAGCGCAGGTTTTGTTAGCCCAGTGGAACCTGAATCAGGAGTAACAAATCCCTGGTTTTCCAGTAAACTGTGGGATCTTCGGCAGGTCTCCTATTTTTCCATCTGTGTTCTCATCCAAAGAACAGGCCCTGCGTCCTCCTGGGGATATAGGAACCTAAGTGACTCCCGGCCAGAGGGAGCGTTTCGATTAAGCTTTGCCTGTGTGAAACAGCATGCCACGGTTTGGAATTACAGAACCTGAGAAGTGGAGTATTAATAAACATTTGAAAAGTCCATCAACTAATGAATGGATAAACAAAATGTGGTCTATCCATACAATGGCATATTGTTGTCATAAAAAGGGATGTAGTATGGATTTATGCTGCAACATGGATGAACCTTGAAAACATTGTGCTAAGTCAAAGAAGTCGCATACAAAGGGCCACATATTCCATTTATAAGAAATGCCCAGAATTGGCAAGTCCATAGACACAGAAAGCGGATTAGTGGTTGCCAAAGCTGGAGGGGTTTGGGGTGGGCTGGGAGTGGTAGCGCTACTGGGTTTGACAGCTAACAGGTATAGGGTTTCTTTTGGGGGGGGGGATCATGGAAATGTTTTGGAATGAGGATGGTTGCACAATATAGTGAATGTGTTAAAAACCATTGAATTGTACACTTTAAAAATGGTCATATGATGAATTTTATCTCAATAAAATGTTTTTTAAACCCTCCCCCCATACACTTGAGTGCTTACTCTGTGTAAGGTACCACCTTTACTGCATTGCATTATCTTTGTGACCCTCTCCACAACCTGAGGTAGACACTCAGACCATCCAGATAGGCCACATTAATGTAGCACTTCTGTAAGTAAGGCTACATTTAAGCACTTACATGTACTAACTTAGTAATCATAATATCCTGTAAGGTAGGCCCCACTATCCCATTCTCAAGAGATAAGGAAACAGGTACAGAGGTCAGGCAACCTCACCTGCAGCAAAGGGGAAAAGCCAGGCCTGGCTGTGGCACTCCTGATGGAGATGCTGGGGGAGGGGATTTGACAGCAGGCCCTGCCACCCAGTCACACCTGATGCCCTAAGCTTGGTGAGTTTGCCCTACCCTCCAACCCCAGCTGTGGCCCAGGGTTTGAGGCCTCTATTCTCTCAGGGGCAGCATTTGGGCATCTTGTCCCCCCACCTTCCCCCTTTGTTCCCCTTCATTATTGTATGTGCCTTTCTCTCTCCATGAGGGTCTCTACAGAGGCTTTTCATCTTTGTGCCACTCCCCAGCACAGGGCTTTGCACTTAGTGAAAGCTACTTTGATGTTTGCTAAATAAAAATGTGATGGGAAGTTATGAAGTAGATGTTTGCCTTGGGGGTATGCATGGCCAGTTTTCCTGTTCTCTGGCCAAAATCTATCCCTCTTGAAAAACAAACTTACTCTCCTAAAATGGATACAACCAGCTAATATTCACACACCACCCTACAACAAAGGTAGTTTCCCTAACAAGTTCTTTATTTTTCATTTATTCAATCCATTTAATTTTCAAATTACACCTTAAGATGGGGCTTGGTCATTGAGACTTAATTAGGATTTTTTTGGTTTGGTGAGTTTTTTCTACAGCAAATGTTTCGGTATTTGAGCTATAACATTAAAAACGACATAACACTTAAAAGGTCCTGTCCTCCAGCTGGAAGATGAGAGATGGGTAAATGCTTGAGTTTTCATAAAGGAATCAAAGTAACATGCATAAGCCAGAAGCCAATACTCTGAAACAGAGCTGCAGGCAGATATTCACATTAGGTTATCAAATGAATACTGGGCTCAAATCTTCAATTCCTAAAAGCCAATACACAATGACAAAAGGTATTTTTCTTTGAGGGTTAGCTCTTTTTAGTTTAAAAACATATATATTTTTTTTTAAGTAACTGCCTAATACCTACTATAATATCTTTTTACATGTTTGGCTGCAAACTCTTTGATTGCATCTTCATATAACAATTGCATAATATCATTTTTACAGAAAGAGAACAGAAAGTTTAATCTTTCCTCAAACAAAGCTGATAGAAATTTGCTTTGTATTGTTGATAGTTTAGGAAAGTTTTTTCACTTTCAAATCACATTTCAATATTGGAAAATTCATACGCATTTTTAGGATTGTCAAAAGTTATTTTTTTTTAAAAAATCTCAAAACGTTACACAGCATGTTTAGTAGCAAAGATCTACCAGTGGCACACACATTAAAAAAACATAATTAGGTTTCTAGTTGGGCTGATTAAAATCTATACAATTGGAAAAGTAGCTGGTTGGCTTAATGGAGATCTGAAGAATCAAAGTGCAAGCAAAGTATTAAAACACGAGTTCAGAAACTTCAAAGAGTTTTAAGACAGACTTAATTTTTCATGGTTTTCCCAAAGCCAGTCATGATATTTATTTAACTTATGGTCTTCAGGGTGTACCTGGAAGAAATTAGAAGACAGAGGCCTTATTAAGTTAGTCAGAAATACATATTTTAAATTGGCTTTTTAAAGATATGGTGAGAAAATAGTACATTATGATAATATACCTGGAAATTATAACCTTTAACCTAACGGATTCAGAAATGTTTAAAATTCTACCGTACATTAAGGTAATCCTTTACATTTTATAAAGTCCTTTCCAATTTAGTACTGATCTTCCCTAGAACCCGGGTGTTAAGTGATAACATGATCAAGAATTAATATGCCATTTTCCAATAGGAGGTTATAGACCCTGAGAGTTAAATGTATTGTTCAGGTCATAATAAATGGTGGAACAGGGATGGGCTTGGCCAGATCTGCTAGCTAAATGTTTTAGGGTGGTCACAGACTAAAAAGACAGTGTATCAGACTACCTGACAGTGCCCACTACCTGCCAGGATACCACCCAAGATGCCTGTGTGCTGGGCATACTCAGTAGAATAGGCAGCTGACAGCTGAAGTAGGACCTAGTTACCACAATAGTCTGAGACCACCAGGAGAAACCCAACAAGCATGCATTCCAAGCTCAAACTTGCCTGCTTTCCTTCAGTGGTGCGCTTTTGAAGACTAGTTAAGACTGTGACAGGAGGAAGCCACATCAGGCTTAGAAGCAGTATATGAATGGAATGACAGGGCCAAGTGACAACTGCGGGAGGTCAGAGGCCACATCAAGGAATCTTTATGGACTTGGGAGTGTCTATGGATCCTCTCTCCCTGCTGCCAATAACCCCATGCCACCCGCTGCCCTGAAAGCTTGGAACAAAATTGTTTGTGACTGTAGTAGCACATGTGTCCAAGAAATAGTTCTAGCCATAATGGTGGACTTATTTTGTCTCAGAGCCAAAATGTGCTGGAGATGTGGCTGCAAGTGGGCCTCACCTGCTTCCACTCATTGACGCAAAAAATTCGGTAGGAGTCATTGCCGTATTTGCCAATCCCATGAAGCTCAATCGGGTATCTCCACTGCTTTGTGAGATATTCATCTGCGAATGCAACAGCTCACAGATTAGGCCAGCCTCTAGGAAGATACTTTCCCTAAATGTGTGGTGATGGGGAGCTGGATGGAGAGAACAGCCAGAAGGGACAGGAAAGAATCTTTCCTAACAACCCCACTTGGGATTGCTCTTTCTTCTGAATTCCCGAAGCACCTCTGTCTGAACTTACTGCCACTTACTGACATTATTTTGTGTTAGCTAGACGGAGGTAATATGCTGAGGCTGACTGGGCTTTCTGCTTCACTGACGTCTTCCTCTAATTATGCCCACATGGCCTGATCCAGTGCTGGCCAGATTTATTGCCTGGGTTGATGGGAGACTGTGGTTTGGGGCAAGCGGACTGTTTATAAATGCCTTCGGAGCTTGAGTTGAATGACCTCTATTAATGTAGCATCTGAGGACATTAAAGTTTAAGGTGTGGCTCTCTTAAATAGGCACCGTTTATATTTTGTCCTTTGGGTATCTGGGAAAGTACCTGAGAACTTGATAATGGTTTTTGCTCGAAGTTCGTAGAGACCAATAGGTTTCAGAAGTTCTGACACATCTCTCCAGTCTGCAGTTCTTGCTACCTCAGCGGAAGGATACTTCTCCAGAAACTGCCAAAGCACAGGGATTGCCATTTTGCCTGGGAAGTAAAGATAACAATGTGATTTTAAGCCTCGAGATAGGCTGATTTAGGTTCAGGTACTTCCTCATCTAGAAATGTCTTATAGAGCTTTTTCATTTCTTTGAAAATCACTGACAAGAAGCCATTACCTGAACCAACAACCACTTTCAGAGTAAAAAACCAACACCATTAACCTATTTGGTTAACAGTCCAGATAATGCTGAAACCTTGTCCTACATAATATTAGTTTTCAAATAATCAGATACTAGTGTAAAAGCATACAGAAGACAAGGTGTCAATGACATTAAAGAAAGCATTTAATGAAAAAATGCTTTTATACATGACTGAGGGTGGAGGGACATTATGTAACTGATTTTTATTGATGACCGAAACTAATTTGGAAGTAGAAAATAAATGCAAATCTGCTCCTTAGTGCTACAAAGGCTGTTAAATATCATCTAGTCTAACTTTCTCATGGGTGAAGAGTTTGAAGGCTGAAAGGGTCACACACCAAAAATCAAACTCGAACCCAGGCTTTCTAATCAATTCAGTGCTCTTTCTCCTCATCACACTGTCTATGGCAAATATTAAAATAACCCACAAACCTGAGGTCCGATTGAGAAATATAGTCGCGATGAGGAGCTTCCACGGATCATGAAAAAGTGTTTCTTGCACAAGATTAAAAGGTGACCGAGGAGGTGTCCACTTCTTAAAGGCTTTGCGTCGTGGGGGGCTAAGAGCTAAACAAACATACTGCATCAGAGTTGGACCTCTGAAATAGATTTAAAATCTGATTTTCTGATTGGGAAAGGGATACCTTCTTTGTTATATTTGCTGGAAAAATATAGGCTTGTTTTCCTTTTTTCTATTTGTGTTCGTGGAATGGTGTCTTCTGAAAAGAAAGAGTGAACATTGTTTACAGAATCTATGGTTTAGCCTAAAGAAATATTCAGGGATACCAATAATAATAATAATAATAATACCATTATAAAGCATTTAGTAGGTACCAGGCACTATGCTAAGCACTTTACCAACATTAACCAATTTAGTCCTACTAATAACCTATGAGCTAGGTATTATTTTATCTCCATTTTACAGATATGGAAATTGAGGTACGGAAAGGCTAAGTAATTTACCCAAGGCTAAGTAAGTACCAGAGTCGAAATTCAAATCCAGGTAGTCTGGCTCCTGACTGAGTTCAGGCTTTTAACCACTCTATTACACTAGCTCTTTATGATTTATGTTCAGAGTTCATAGTATTGAAAAATTGGAAATATGGAATATTTTAAATTATGATATCTTTGTACAGTGTTGTCATTAAAAATATTTTGAGATGATATCATGATGATTTTCCCATATCACTAATGTTCAAGTGAAAAAAAGCAATATTCTACATATGATCCCAATTTAATAAAAAAAAAGAAAAAAATATATAAAATACAGAGATTAGAATAAAATAAACCAAAGTGACATAATGGTTGTTGCTAAATGATAATTTTTCTTTTCTTCTTTAATTGTCTGTATTTTCCAAAATTGATGCAGTGAACTTTTTTATACTTACCAAAAAAAAAAAAAAAAGAGACATAGACAAAACAGAACCTGTAGAAAAACCGAAAAACCTAAGATTTGGAACTTAGAACACCTGAGACCACTATCTACTGGGAAGCTCAGTTAATTTAACAAAGACTGACCAGCATTATCAGGCTTTGCAAAATCATCACAATTAATACTCTAACTATACCCTTGAAATTTGAATGTCAGTTAATAATACCATATATTTGTAGAGCGTGAAGCCATCTTTTTCACTTCTCATTTTACTTTACAATATTCTTGATATGAAAAACAGCACTAGTGAGGGGTATTACCTCCATTTTACACATGAACAAACTAAGGCTGAGAAATTAAGCAACTATCCCAAAACCACAGTGGGTGAGTGAAGACTGGGACAAGTATCCCAGTCTCCAGATAATCAGTGTAGCGTATTTTGCTATTCTAGTTTGAATAGGTAAAGCCTAGTAGAAAGTAAAAGAGTTAGAACAAAGGAAACCGCGCTGCTAATTTTTTCTGTGGGTTCCTATAAATCATTACTAACTCGCCTCCTTTATTACTGGGAGGCTGAAGCTCAACTTACTTGGCAACTTCTACTTAAGCCAATGGGAGTCTTTACTTTCCACTGGATATCTATTAGCCTAAAGATACTTCATTTTATGTTGAGAACAAGACTTCCTTATGTATAGGATGAACGGATACTTCCATTGTAGTTGCAAAAGGATGTTTTTAATATTTAATTTGCCCATTATACTAGCAATAAATCTACATAAGCCTCAAGGCTTTAAGAAACTCAAAGTCTTCAAAGGACAGACTTGAATCCTTACATAGTTCCTAGGTATACACGGCCACCTTCTGTTAAAGGGGTTGAAATTCTAGGCACATAAAATCATGAGTGGGACTGAGGGTAGGAGCAAGCCTAACCCCCCTGCTCCACCAAGTTGTCCAGGCTATCTCCCCATAAGACTTTAAGTAAAATTACTCTTGTTCTTTAAAGGAGTTATTCATTATACCATAATGGCATGATGAATAACTAATACCAAGCTGCTCTAAAGTTCTCCTTTTTATCTCTTATTCACTGAGGTATTATAAAGGCAAAACTGCTCAGCTCTGAATTCTGTATTAACAGCGTATTACAAATAATAGATGAACTATGTGAGTATAGTTTTGAATTATTTAGAGCTCTAAAGCAGTTTAGAGAAGCAGCACATAATAGAATATAAAAATGACTGTGATATATATACATAAAATTCAATGGGAAGTCACACATCAGTAGTAACAGGAGATGTGCAAAGAGAAGATGCTGACGATTCTCAACCAGTTTATGTAGAAAAAGAGTCTTCCCCAAACCTTTTCACAAGTGAAGCCTTTTCATTTTCCCTACAGTTATAAGATTATTGGCTGAAAATAAGATGGGAAGAAGGGAAAGCACTGTTGAGGAGAGTCCCAGCTGCTGCCCCAGGGAGAGATGGTAGCAGCTGTTAAAGGCACAATTCTCCTTTGCTGGGGGCATTAAGGCAGTAGCCAGCTGATGCCCTCTCTGCCACAGGAAGGGACCTGAAGATCAGTTAGACAAGATACTAGGAGTTGATCCCAGCTGTGGTAGAATGTATTCGACATTTGGCCTTATTTCTTCATTCTATTCCCACATCCTAAACGGGTATAAGCATGTAATACAGTATCCGGGAGTATAAACTCCTAATCACATGTTTAATGGTATTTTAATTGCACTGAATACCTTGACACATGTTCACAGAAGTAGGGTCTTTTTCAGAGCAGTTGTTGTCCATTTCAGAGCCACATTTTAAACTGTCAGTATGCAAATGTTCCTTCCTTTCCCCAACTTCTACTTTGATTATTTCCTCAGATTCTAAAAAGGTATCCTCACACTTGTTGTGTTCGGCTTCTTTGGTCGAACCTAATTCATTGATGAGGCCAGAAGTTATTTGTTCAAGACTAAAATTTGATCCTGAACTCAATGATTTTTCTTTTGTAAATCTCTTTTCTTCGCTGGTCACATTGAGGGTCTTGTTGCTTGCTCTGGCATCAGAAATGCAGCAAGTTCTATCAAGCTGACTGTCTTGCGCAACAGGTTCACTTTCAGCATCTGCCTTATTAGACACAGATTCTCTTTTTCTAGTACTTTGAACAGAATCTGGAAGACTCTTTTGGCACCCCGTTTTAGTTTTCTTAGTTTGAATTCCTTTCAAAACAGTCCTCTTTCCTTTGGACTTTTTCACCTTTCTGGAGTCAGCATCACTGACACTCTCACCTTCTTTAGGAAGCAAATGAATGGAAGTCAAGTTAGATAGTCCTCTGCTATCTTGCAATTCCAAACCTCCACTTGGCAGAGGAAACACATCTTTTTTCCATTTGGTTCTTGTCCTGAGGTTCTGGTTTGAAATGCTGCTTTCGTTTTGCAGTTGGGATGTCACAGCTGCCATGCTGCAGTTTTTACATCCTGATTTGATGCCCCTTTTAGAAAGTACAGTAAAATCAAAATCTTCTAGCTTAAGAGAAGTCTCTTCATTTTTGTGAAGATAATTAGCAAGTGAACCTTTGGATCTGAACTTCAGTCCTTGTGGGCTAGAAAATAATATTAAAAGAAACTTACTGCTAGAAAATAAAAGCAATTTTTTAAAAAGAATTGGACCACATTTCAGATTTTTAATCAATAATTTCCAAAAGTTGCCATGGGCATTTGTCATTTGAAATAAAAACAGCAATAAAATGGTACTTTTAAATATGAAGAGGAATATTCTAGTATAAAATAATTTTACAAATATAACTTAAGAGCAACCTTACCATTATTCATTCGCAGTAGGAGAAAATGTACATACCTGTCCCTAAATCACTTAATAAAACTAACCAGTGACACTAAAGGAATAAATCAATAGAGGTTTTACGGTAAAAATAGAAAAAAGTCAGATACCTGCTATGCTTTCCCACTACCTGTCTAGACAAAATTATTAGGCTGCATTATCTTTACCACCTTGCATGCTCACCTGATAAAATATACATCATATCTTCCTGCTGTTTTTCCAGATAATCTTTGCTTCACAACTCTTTCCCATCCGCATGGGACAGACTTATGGCATTCTGTCATTTCACCAAACTGAGCAGAAGCAATGGGTTCTTGTAGCAGGGGATTACACTCGCTGCTGTTTTTTATCACCATTTGTTTCTCATCTTCTTCTGCTCTTTCTGATCCTAGGACAACAACTTCCTCACTAAAAAAACAAAGTTCAAGTGATCAGCTCATTTAAATTTGGTTTTCCTCTTCTTGTTCAATTTTAATCCATGACAGAGCAGGAAACCACATGGGCTATTTGGAATATGGGAGAGATTAAAATCAGTATGGACCAGTCTTCTGTTATGGGAATAATTTCCTGCCCTCCAATATCTTCCTGTCCTCCAACATGGGTTAAAAAGGGTTAGAAATCTCTGCACAATGAAAAGCTCAAGCTATTTGCTAGAAAACTTGTTTTTTTTTTAAATTAATCATTGAGTAGAGCTATTATAAAGATTTCTTGTGACACTTGGCATGAGTTTAAAAATATGAACCAATAGCTGAGCTCTTAACCTGGGATCAACAGAATGGCTTAAAGGAGTCAGTGAGGTAAATACCCTCCTCTTCCCCAAATAAGTGAGGTAAAAATTTCATATATGTATGCATTCTGGGGGAGAGTGTCTATCACTTTTATCAAATGTTGTAACCCTCCAAAAGGTAAATAATTTCTGACACGGAATTTTCAAATCTCTTTCATTGTTGATCCTCATGGTAGGATAAAGATTACTCTAATTTTATTGATAAAATTGAGTGACAGGAAGACTAAGTTATTTGCAAAGTTGATACCAGAACCCAGGTCTATTACATCTTGGTCTAATACTTCTCCCCCTGTACTATTATTGAAAAACTTCAGTAGAGTGCTAATCACTGAATCACACATTTGAACATTTGGATGGGCCTATAAAGATATCCAACCCAACTTCTTTTCTACAAATAGGGAAACTAAGCAAGAGCTAGTGACTAACTAGAATTAGAATCAAGGTCTTCTGATGTAATTTGGGGTTAAAGAATTTTGGGGAGCTCAGTGGATCTTGAGAAATTATATAGTTCACAATTTTAGGGGTAAGGAAACTGAAACCTGGTGAAAACATCACAAACTTTAAAGTCTACAGACTGGGTTCAATCCCAGCTCTGCTATGATTTTTTTCATATGATCATTTACTTGCTATGTGTCCAAGAGCAAGTTACTTAACCTCTCAAAGTCTCTTTTCTTCATCTGTAAAAAGGAGGTAATACCTCTTTGAAGGCAGATCTGAGGATTACATTTTGAAAGAAAAGTAACTCATCTTAGCCCCAGATCGCACATATACAAGTACTCAATACATCACTGTAGCTTCCTGTTACTTCTCATAGGACCCATTTTGGGGGAGCCCCCGGCTGCGTAACATGACAGCTCCTCCAAGGTCTTCCTTATACATCCAACCCAAGCAGAACTCTCCTTGCACCACCTCCCAGCTCCTTCGTCATTTTGGGTAAGGAAGTCGGGAGCACCCCAGGGCTGACCTCACCGGAATAGTACCTAAGCTCAAGCCTTAACTCCTAGTAATTAAACCTTGAGCTTCCAGGTCTCTGTTTACCCTAGGTTAGAAAGGCCCACCCACCTTCTATTCCCCCGCTCCCGTTTTACAAGTGGTGAAAGCGAGGCCCAAAGAGGGGTAACTTGCCGGAGATCACATGGCTGGTCAGGGACTAGGCGCTCACTGGAAGTGACCAAGGGGGCGGCTCCACAGTTCCCCAGGCTCGGACTCTCCATCCCAGTCGTGCCCTTCAAGCGGGCTCCGCCTGCACCAAAGGGCCGACAGGGTGCGACACCCCGAGTGTGGAACAGAGTAAAAACGTGAAAACTTCCTTAGTTCTGAGCACTAAGCCGAAACCCAAAGCTGAGGGCAGTGACAGTCTGCAACACTCCACAGCCGCTTTCCGGCCCCCGCCGGTTCCGACCAATCGCGCGCGCCCCAGTTGTGTAGACGCCTTCTAGGCTCCCGTTCCATCCTCGCTTTTTGTCTTTTACTAGCCCTCCCTTTTAGACATGCGCACTCGGAACGCTGCCTGGCGCATAGCTCACTGCGCATGTGCGTTGCCAGGGGTAACGCAGGTAGCCAAAGTGGCTCGCGGAGAGGGCTCTGCTGCTGAGGCGGGGAGGAGGGGCCCGAGGCGTGAGGGAAGCCGCGATGAGGGTCGTGTTGACGTGGAGAGATAAAGCCGAGCAGTGGTGAGGAGCGGGGCAGTTCGGGAGGAGCGGGAGGCTGAGCTCCGGCGGGGATGGCGGGAGCTATTGCTTGAACTTCTGTGGTTGCCAAGGGCAACGGGCCTGCGGCCTAGGCTGAGGGCACTGAACCCTGGGCCTGTGCTACTGCAAGGTCGCCCTCTCACCCCTTTGCGGATGGAGAAACTGATGCTTGGAGAGGGAGCAAAGGGATGTGCCACGCGTGAGGTAGTGGCCTGGCGAGGCGGTTTTACACATAATCATAATCTGGTCTTGTCATTGCTTTATAATCCATCCTGGGCTCATCAGACACTCACAACAATGTTTCTCCAGCTTCACAATTTTCTCCACATCCACATATTACCCATACTTTTATTAATTTGACGTTTTATTCTAAACTGTCTCCCTTATTTTCGCTTAAATATGATTTTACGAGGAAACTTTATTGCTCCATATTTAAAAAAATATCACTTGCTATAATAAGATAACTGTAAATTTTAAAGCAAGGAGTAACAAAACAGTGTTAATAAGTTGTAACTAGATACTGTTGCTAGCCTGAGGTTTACTGTCTCTGAAACTGGAGATTTAGCAAGGTAGGTCAGAGAGGTGCTTGAGATGAAGAGATCAAACTGAAATGTTCTCCCATACTTAGAAGGTTTGAAAGAATGACTTTCTCATTTTATGATTCAATGTTATTTAATGTCCTATTCCATTTTTATCACCTAAATCTATCACACAATGATACATTTGGGGAAATACTGACTTCTTGGATAGTTCTCAGCCCGACTTTCAAAATCTTCCTAGATGATCTTTTCAGCTTCATTGTGAAGCCTCTGTTTTGGACACTGGAACAGGATATTTGCCATTCCTTCTCTGTTTTTTCTTAAGCCTTTCTGTGTGAAGATAGCATGCCTTCTTTCCTCATCTCCTCACATTGAAATCCTAAACTTCCCATGAGGCTCCCTTTGGAGATAGTTGCTCTACACTAATAATATTAATAGCTAACACTATGTGCCAGGCATTGGCTAAGGACTTTCTTTTATCTTATTGTCACCTCAAAACAGCCCTCTGAGGTGGGTGCTATAATTACCTCTATTTTACATGTGAGGAAGCTAAGGCACAGAGATGGTAAATAGTTTGCCAAGTTCACACAGTGAGTCAGTGCTGGCTAAAAACCAACTTTCAAGCTCAGGTCTTCCTCACTCCAAAGCCAATGCTTTTAGCTACTATATCAATTTTTCTTTGTATTACGGAGGCTGCAAACTCAAATGCCTGCAGGAATCAGGTCGGCAACATAAATGGGAAATGTTTATTCACATCTTGAACACAAGGAATTGTCTGTTTTCCCTAGGAGTATTCTTCTATTCTACACCCCACTTTTCCTGAAACACATAACTTATTACTTATACTTTAAATAGAGATTTAAGTTTTAAAAATTCCTTTTTACTTTTCTTTTAACTCGATTATCGAAGTACCCCCACAGCACAAGCTGATGATAACTGGTATCTGAACATTTGGCTTTGATATCAGAGAGTCATAGGGAGTGGCAAAGAATGTGGCACCTAGAGAGCTCATGCTCTGCCTAAAAGGGCAGCTGCTGCTCAGGCCCTGCCAATCACCACCCTGCAGGAATTTGGTTGAGTGCGCGCCAAACTTCCTATTTTCACCAGTCACTAGGACTCTGGGTTTTTATGTGAAATGTCCTAATTTTTTAACGTTGGAACCTAATCTTAAAATAAAATAAAATAAAACACCATGTGGGCCAAATAAAACATTTGCTGGCCAAATACAGACTGATTTGCTCCCAGTTTTCAACCCCTGGCGTAGAATTTTGTTCATCCCTCCCTTGTGGTATTTAAGATCTGTCTAGTGTAAGTTATTTTTGAATCTGTTTATCCCAGAAGTCTATAAACCCCTTAAAGGCAATGGCTATGTTTTATTCATTTCCCATTATTCCAGTGCCTAGTCAAATCAGTGGTTGTTGTGATTTGATGGATAGGTGGATAGATATAATGAATTGATAAGTGAATGAATGAATGATGAATGAAGATAAATTGGTTATTTAGTTTGGGGCCCATTATAGGTTTGAAACAGCCTATTAGAATAGGGGCTTTAGGAGTTCTGTAGACCAGCAATCCTGATGGCAGCCATATATGCCAGCTGATAGCCCAGAATGAGACAAAACAAAACAAAAAACTCTTAAAAATAGATAGCAGAACTAAAAAAAATTTCAGATGTCAAAGATTAGTTCTCTATAACCAAACCAGCCATTATCTCCCGTCTGGTCTTTTACTTCCAGTCTAACCTTCACAAACCAGCAAAAATTCTCTTTTTGAGTCCTGCTGCTGTGATGTTACTCTACTTCTCATAAACCTAGAGTGACTCCCAGTTATCGTCCACATCAAATTGTGAACATAACTAGTTGGTCCTATTTACCCCCACCCCCTAATTGCTAATGTTTAAATTTATGCTTTTCAGTTAAGCTAAAAATTCCATTTTCATATCCAAAGGCCCTTCCCAAATGCTCTTACTTCTCTGAACTCCCTCATTTTCTCCCTTAAAAGCACTGCTCCAGGTTCATGTCTACCATGATGCCTTATTTGGCTAGCCCACCTTCTTCCAGTCAGACCATGATCTGCTATAACCCTTTATTCACACCTGCTAGCTAGTATTTACTGAGTACTTGCTGTAGGCCAGACTGTGTTGACATGTGTTACCTTGCTTAACTTCCACAATAATCTGTGAGGTTGGAATTGTTACCCCATTTACAGATGAAGAAACTGAGACTTAACAAAGTGACATAATTTGCCTAAGATACCAAAGCGAGTAAGTGGGGCTGGGGTCTGATTGTGCAGGGTTCAGAGAGGCACCTTGGGACTTCAGTTTACAGTGGGGTGGGCATAGGGTTGTCAGAGGACAATTTGCAGGACTCGCCTTCTATCTCTCAGCAATGGCATTTGATGATGTATCTTTTTCATAAAAGGAAACAGTGTCGGGGTTCGGTCAAGTGGCTCAGTTGGCTAAGAGTGTGAGCTCTGAGCAACAGGATAGCTGGTTCGATTCCCACATGGGCCAGTGAGCTGCGCCCGAGCTGAGCTGCCACTGAGCTGCCAACAGGTGGCAGGGTGGCTCAGCTGGTGAGAGCATGTGCTCCTAACAAGATTGCTGGTTCTACTCCCGCATGGGATGGTGGGCTGCACCCCCTCCCTGCAACTAAGGTTGAACACGGCACCTTGAGCTGAGCGGCTGCAAGTTGCCGTTGGCTGGCCAGATGGTGACTGGACTTGGAGCTGAGCTAGCTGCGCCCTCCACAACTAATATTGAAGGACAACAGCTTGGCTGTTCCCCTTCCCCAATTCCCCAGTAAAATCTTAAAAAAAAAAAAAAAAAGGAGCAGGGTGGGAGAGAGAGCCATCATCCTACAGCACACTAGACCGCCTGTAGGTGGGTGAGCTCCCCAGCCTTGCAGTGTTCAGGCAGAGGCTGGACGGCCATCTATAGGGAATTCCTGCCCTCGTGGGGGGAGTTCAGACTATATGACAAGGTCTAGGGTTTTTCTATTTCAGAGTTTCTGTGATCTCATGATGTAATTAAAGTCTGAGGTGTCCAAGATAAAATCTTGTCAGTTTGTTGACTGTTCATTATGTGTCTAGGACAATGCCATTCACATGGTTCCACAAATGTTTAAAACTGAGTCATTGCCCTCAAATTACATATGACTCTAATTAAGGGCACAAGATAGTATCTGAAACAGTGTAAAATATAGAAGATGATATAATTCAGAGCTAAATAAAATTGTACAGGTTTTTAAGTACAGTAAGAATTTAGATTGGGATAAATCAGATGTTATGTTATACTTTAGGAAGGCAAATTTCAAGAAATTCAGAGAAAATGAATTTTCACATCTGAGAGGAAGGTAGTTTTAAGGCTTGGTCCAAATGAGACACTCAGAAATTATTTTTTTGATAATTCAACCCAAAATGATTGTTATGAAGAAGAGGCCACTTTGATGAACTCAGATGGGTACAAGGCAGAAAGGGAACCACATATCCAAGGATGACTGTAAAAGGGAGGTGCAGACCCCCTCCAAAATATATCTCATCATACAACCCACGGGTGTCACAGTTCTCTATCCTTGTTTTGTAGGTGGGGACGAAAGCTCAGACCAGAGGTCAGCTCTTCTGGCCCCAGCTCCCCTCTACTTTTCATTCTACTGCCCCAGTTCCCCTCAAAGTGTGAAATGGACCTCGTACATTTCCCCCAAGACTCAGAGAGGGAAAACCTGAGAAACAGGAAGGTCGGGTCTGTTATCACGTAACAGTGAGGAAACTGAAGAACTCAGGGTCTGTGTTTATTTCTATCAAGAGGGATGCCCAACTGAAAGGGTGTTAACACTCACCCTTATTCCAGCTTTTGGATAGCGTCCACATGGCTTGCCTCTGTACTTTAGTTTCCTCATTGATAAAAATAGGCCAGTAGTGCCTGGCCTGTCTACTGCTTTATGTTATCATCAGATCAAATGAGATAATATAAGTTTATACAAATTCTCTCAGGTTGTCTAACCTTTACGGTATTATGAGGAGAATTCGTGCCCTCCACTGTTGACCCTTTGAATCATATGTGGCGTCTGGCTTCTAGACAAGTGGAAACTGGGACATGGAGCTAACTGCCCAGTGGATTATGATTGAATGGGCTGCCAAGGTGTGGTGGTTGAATGGAATTTGCAGCCAAATGCAGTTCTTAGCCATTATTTCTCCCCCTCATACACAAGCAGTGTTTTATAATGGAAGTCAAGTTTG